TGAAAACAATCCCCTTGACTCATGTTGGCTTTATAAAACTTCAATTGCTAGACATTATACTATATCAATATAGCTTATTGTGTTCAGCTTTCAATTCTCTATCTTCTGACATATATCAAAAAAAATTTTCAATGATCTATTGAAACACAAGTTGGTACATCTTTTATAAGGTAATTTTCCTTGCTTTTTCTCGAAAAGGTATGATAGTGCTGAAAGTCGATATTAGCTAACTTTTCATAGAAAGGATATTAAAACGTAAAATTTTAGGGTTGTTGGTTTTAGACACTAAAGGGTTGAACGATCGAAAAAAATTCTAAAAATAGTTTTATCGAGTGCCTCGTATACTCGATGCCCTCATAGAGTCTCTCTTAAGAAGATTTTCTATATAAAATGTTTTGTTTTGATAATTTTTAAATATTCATCCAACAGAATTGAATAAAAATGCAAATGAATACTTTGTTATACATATGATTACTTTTTTTTTGATTGTATTCAAACTCAATAAATCTAAAGTATCAAACATCTGTATATTTATATTTCAATGATCTCATCATATTTTTTCTATTTATTTTTACAAAATATCAAACAAAGTAAAAAAAAGTATAAAGTAAAACGTAAGTTAGAAATAAATATTAATCTTACCAATAAACTACATCGCTTCCGTTTGATATAAACCTTACCTTCAGATAATTTATGAGTGCATTTGTAGCTCTACAGAGATTTTTTTCCCATGTTAATAATATATCTTTTCAAAATGTAAACATTGATTATTGTTAGTCTATTAATTTATCTTATACAACTTCACTAGTCGACGATCTTGACGTCGTTCTTGCCAGATTCTTGTTTTTCTTTGTTATCAGACAAGATTCTTTTTCTATTGCTTCTATACAAGATTCTTGTCTGAAAAAACAGATCTTGACTTTCTCCGCAATCGTATACTGGATTTACTGCCGTAAACAATTTTCAGTAGGCGCGCTTTGCTTAAATGGAATTTTTAAAGACATTAATTTTATTCAACTGTTTTTTTCTTGAGCGTCCATCTTACACCCCAAAAAAATTGAGTTTAAGGATAATATGTATATTTCAATATAGTCAATAATGACTGAAGAAAAATGATCTTTTTTCTTTCAATAAAAGTATAAACAACAGCTAAGTCTGTCTGCTAAAACTAAAATGTTTGATTGATATAAATGTTTTAATTTTAATATAAACATTATTATAGAATTTGCTCATGATTTGAATAAAGATCCTAGTAAAATTAATAAACTGATATCTTGACGAAAAATAAATTGATAAAATTGTTGTCTATTAAATAAAGGTTATAGGAGCATTATCGAAGATGTTAAAATCGATTTCTGTGTTTCTCGTACTAAATTTCGGTAATACGAAATTTAAATTCAGGAAAAATTTATTATCGTGATCGATGAAAAAATCAATTAAAACGATTTTTTTCATACTTTAAGAAATAATCGACCTGATTTAAAGATTTATTTCAAATTCAAAGTGTAATAAATGGGGTATCATATATGACTAAAATTTTATTGGTATCAATTGGTCATTTAGATAGAACTATTCAATATATAATCAATCGCTTTTTGTACTTTTTCTATTTTGGAAATAGTTTAGTTGATGTTGGAGAGAAATGTAGAAGTAATGAATTGTTGTCGGTTTGAGAAGAAAGTTAAATGCACCTAATATAGTCGTATAAATCTTATGTTCTGCTTTTAGAAAGAACTAAAAATCATTTAACATCTGTTGAATATAATATATATCTATGCAGATGATGGTGAGTGTTTTTAAATGTCCCTTACGAGTCAATGAAAATCCCTTGATAACTCACGGTTACACGCTGATATGTTAATTTAAGTTCAGAATATATTTTTATTAAAACAAATGATTTAAGAAATGGATTTTGTGAAGCTTAAACACACAACAACAAAGGATATTTTATGAGCAGACTAACATTAAATAATATTAGTAATTTAGACATAGGCAACAATATACTTAGTACAGCAGAAACAATGATGAAATCATAATATATGATAGAAAATGAGGAAAAGTATATTGAAATGGGAAAACTTTTAAAAGATTATCTTCAATTAGTAAGTCTTTAATTTATAGATAGCTATAACAATACCGCATATATTCGTTTATTATTATTCATTATTGAGTATGTATGCATATGTATTTAGTTAAATAGTCATTTAGTTAGTAGACTTCAGGCTGTACATCCTTTAAAATCTTTGATTTATATATGTATTTACAAATTTTTTCTGTAGTTCAAAATAATCGTTATTACTTCCAAATTGCTCCTTTGTTGATGAATAATACTCAGTATTGTCAACATGATTTAATTGATAGACTGTTAACGAAAAAAACTCATCCATTTTAAATTTATGTGGATACAATAATTTGAAATTTTTCTAGAATATTTGACAATGCGAATTATACAGCGAACAAGTGTAGGTAAATTATTTGTGAGATTATAACAAAGGGAATGTGTCCGTATTTAATACATAAATCGCAGCCCATGTAGTTAATACTTTTTCACCATTAAAACAAGCTTGAATGACATCCAAATGGAAAGCCATTAAATATGTTTCAATTGACGAAATAGATGAATGATAAACGAATTGTAATGTCACTTTTTTACGTTGATTTGGTTCATCTATTATTTCAAAGATCGTAGAACGTAAAGTTACTTCAAATTCATATACACATTGATTAGATAGAACTCTTTGTTTCACAAAATACATGTTAGATAAGTTGACATGTACAGTCATCTACGTAAAAAACAAATTAATCAAAAGAAAGTTAATTCTCAATAAGTTATACTGATTTATCGATGAAATTCTTGAAACCTTGTCCAACATACAAAAAGAAATCAAGATCAGAATAAAAAGCTTCGATAGGATTTCGTAACAAAGACATAAGAACTGAACCATCAGCTACAATAAATTGATTGAAATCTATAAACGGTGATATTTGGTCAAAGCCAAATCGATCTCGAAAGTTGTTTTGAAAATCTTGAAATGTTTTCACAATTTCTGGAGGTGTTGGCAAGCCATTTCCATATATATTAAAAAAAATTTATGTTCATGGTGAGATAATGCAGCAGGTTGTAAAACAACTAACATCAAAAGAATTCATTACCAACAACATGTTTATTATATACTATGAAACAAAGGATTAAATATTTATTAACTTGACGCTCTTGAAATTGCCCGTAATGCAGCGAAATGAAAATTTGAATTTTTGAATGATTCCATAACTATTTAAACTAATGCAGGTTGAAAAATCAGATAGTAAGATCAGTTATGAATTATTTTATGATCATAAACGATCTTACTGAAATATCTTATGTGATCGTGCAAGATCATACGAAAAATCGTAGTCTCAGAAATCTGATCAAAAGTTTTAAAGAAAGTTTTTTGTACGCTCTGGAAATACAATCTTTTATGATTATTTCCAATCATACAGTGAGATTTTAAATGGTCTCGCTACAAATATACTTTCTTCGTTAGATTTTACCTTTGTCTGACAATTATAATTCAAGCTAACTTCACTTAGGGAAGAACACTTTAATTAATAAATATAATGCAGACGTACCTGCACACTGAATTATCATTAAATAATAAAATTTACAAGAGAATAGTAATAAAAACTCATGCATACAAAAAAATTTAGTGCCTCTACTATTAATAAAGAAAAATAAGAAATAGAACGTGAGCCTTTCTAAATTACTGATATAAAAATACAGGAAATAGAATTTCAGATTTTCTATAATATTAGTATAGAAAAATAGGAAAAGGAAATTAGAGTTTTCTATATTATGAGTATAGACACCTAAGGATTATAAGTAACCATTTTCTATATTGACAATATGCTAAATTAAAATAGGATATCCAATATCACCAACATAGAAAAACTAAAAATGAAAATTCATATTTTCTATATTATTAACATAGAAACATAAGACGTAGAAATTCAGATTTTATAAAAATATTAGTATAAAAAGAAAAAAGATACAAAATGAAAATTAAGGTTCTCTCTATTATCAATATAGAAAATCAGAATTAAAAATTGATACTTTTTATAATATCAATATAAAAACAAATAAGCGATGAGAATGAGATCTTTTATATTGCCAATAAAGAATAAGAAAAAATTGAAATTCATATTTTCTTTATTATTAATATAGAAGCATAAAAAATGAAAATTAAGATTTTCAATAATATAAATACAGAAACACAAGAAACAGAAATTCATATTTTCTATGATATTGATATAGAAAACTAAAAAGGAACGACGGGATTTCCTATATCACCAATATAGAAAAATAAAAGTCAAAAAGTAAGACTTTGTATAACATTAATATAGAAAACTAAAGAATAAAACTAACCATTTCTTATATTGCCCATACAGAAAAGTGAAAAATTAAAGTTAAAATATTTTTTATTACTAATACAGAAAATTAAAGGTTACAAATAACTTTTTCCTTTGCTATTGCTATAGAAAAATAAGAATTAAAAGTTAAGATTTTCTTTGTTACCAATATAGAGAAATGAGAAATAACGATGAGTATTTTTATATAATGAATACAGAAAAACAAAAAAAATTTCGGCACAGCTCAATTTTGTTTTGTAACTGCTGTCCTTCATAGTAAAACTAATTGAATTAACAATTCTTGAATAAATAAAAGAACAGAAGAGACCATTCAGGATCAAGTCAGAACAGACAAGAGGATAGTATGTATTGGTGTATGTTTGTTTTTGTATGAATTTTTTATGATCCGATGAGAATTGACAAGAATTATTGAGTCTATCCTTATTAGTATTTTAATCCTTAAATTTTAAGATTTTCTGGTTGCATTTTATAGTTAGAATATGACGAAATATTTCAAAAAACAAACAGATAAGATATTGTCCAACCTAGTATCAAGATCATAGAAAAAATCGTACAAGGGTAAGATCTTATTGGATCTTGCACGATCTAACGTTAGGTTTCTTGATATGGGGGTGGTCATATTTAATATACGATGTTACGTTTTCTTAAGAATCAACTTGAATAATTAATTTTAGACTAAATGAGCAACATTTTAATGCTGCCAATTCAAAAAAAGACACTTACATGGCACGTCGAAAATGCAAGGAAAGAAAAGCCGATTTGGGATTTTACAGATTCTAAAATCCAAAAAAGATTTTTTCGGATTTTTTTAAATTCCTGAGATTTTTCTAACTATTAAACTTCTTATTCCTTGTCTATCATTTAAATACCGTATTTCTCATTGTCAAACAAAGTCCTATCATCACAAGATACATTGATTTCATTAAATCAATCGTCCTCTCTGATTCACAGCAGTGGCATTCTTCAAGACTTTTGACTAGTTCTCTCGTCAAAGTACATGTAAAAGGACGTCCCAAAACGCTCAAAGTCTTCGATTTCTTATGTGTTCATTCATATTAGGAGTTTTATCAGCTTTAGTTGTTATGTATTGCGTCTGCTTAGTTATGTCTATCTCAAGAAAGATTAAGAATTGTATGTCCCAAAAAAATAATTAATTACAATCTCATTTTACGAATACATTTTGTTTTGATTGCATAACACGTTTCAAACGATCAGAAGAAAGAGAAGGTTTTTCATTTGTCAATACCCAACAAGCTGTTTGCTTGTGGATGTAAACATCGGTAGTATCATTTTCTCGTTGAACTTTAAAGAACGAATCGGATTGTGTTGGATCAATGGATTCTTTCACATGCATGCCCCTCTAAAAGAGGTATCCGACGAATCAAGAAGAACATGAGAAAGATCTTGTTCTTCATCTTCTTCATCTTCATTGTCGGTTTTCTTCGATGAGTTATCAAACACTTGCTGCAGTTGTGACGATCGACTTTTAAGTTTTGAAGTCCCGTGATGTTTGATGATGAGTTTAGAAAGACTTGCTGTTGTTTTATATTTGCTTGTTTTTAATGTATCTTTACCAATGAGTGGTTCGATTAGTTCATATGCAGTTGCAAAGGCTCCTTCGACTATCGTCTCGATATCGACCGGTCGAAGAGACGAATAGGTAAATGTTGATGATGAAGAAGAAGGGGAACCATGCGCGACTTTTCCATGCTTATGATATTTGGGAAAGCGAAGACCGGATGAATATTCTTGTTCTGTTTTGATCAGCTGAAGAGCACTTATTTTATCGGCACGTCGTAGGAAATCAAGAACGGAAAAGTTCACGATGTTTGATGACACGCCTTACATTGGTCTTGCTGAGCGACATACCCTTTTACACGATTGAGAATATAAAAGCTCGATTGAGAGAGCATCAAATGGTAGTTGACCACCGATAGCAAGAAGAACGAGATATGTCAATGAATGTGCATTGATTTCGATAGAGAATAAACTAGGATTAGTAATCGTAAAATGTCGTTTAGTTTTTATCACGGACGGTTCCGGAGTCGTAATCTTTATAGACGATTGAGACGACAGAGAAGCAACAAGAGTATCGAATTGAGTAGAAAATATTTTTCCGAGGGTGTGGGTGTGGGTTATAAGAAGACATGTACCCATACCCACACCCACACCCACAACCACACCCACACCTGTCCAAGATTCTCCTTTATCTTTGATTACCCAATGCATTTTTTTCGCGGTAAAAATGATGAAAATATCGATGCATGCTTGATTTTGTACCATGTCGCGATATCTTTCGTCCTCTTCGATATCTTCGATAGATTTAGCCCAAATCCTGTCATTTTGATGACTTGGCTTGCTAATGCTCCAAACGAAAAATTCATCAGCTGGTGCAAGGTGTAAGAAGTCCTCCTGAGTCCAGTTCTTCAACCAGTCGCATAGCCATAGACGATCGAAGATATGAGTTTCTGTTTTCAATGGTTTTTGAATAACGTCGTAAGGCTTCAGTCCCACCCTATGTCGATAGTTATCGATCGTGCTTCGCGTAACATATTCTTTTTGTCTCTCTACAATCTTCCTTGCCACAACGGAAGAACTTTTTTTGCTTGCCACTCGCATTGACAATGATGTTCTGACTATTCTGCGATAATTTGACGTTGCGACCACATTCAGAATAATCAGCAAAGCATTCATCGTATGCTTTCTCACACCATTGAGTAACAAGCCGGGTCGAATGACGGATTTTGTCTGCGATCCATTGTCGAGTGATGGGTGCTGCACCAGCATCACGAGCTTCACGGAAAGCAACGCACTTTATTCGATCGACGACTTTCTGTTGTTCATCGTCGTAAGTCCCAGGCATCGTACAGATTAAATGTGTTCAATCAGCCTCAGCTAAATCACAAATCTACGATGGTCATCATTAAAAGGTACAAATGGAAGACACGGTATTTACTTACATTCCAAGCAAAATCACTTCGTTCAAAGAGAGATCACGGTTTCCTTATGACTTTGACAGCGTATGGGAATAAAGAAAGTGAAAGAAATAGCAGAAAAAAATAATTCGACTCGATACGATCGTGACTGACGACTATTTCTTCGTTCTTTTTGTGATAAAAATGCTATTCGCACGTGCTCCCGGGAGAGAACGAAAATAAATGATAAAGGAATGAAAGAATCATTGTCTTGGACATTCAAGCAATGTGTTTTGAAGTTTTTGGGTAAATTCTCTATGAATTCTATGACGATATACATTCTCTTGTCTGCTGTATTACCTTCTATTGCAAAGTCGATACAATCGTAACTCTCAAAATTCTGAAACTTTTCTGAGTTCTATAATTAGTCCCTCTCTTATAGAAAATCAAAATATACCCCTAAATCCCGCTTTTGATGGGCTTTCATTTGGTATAAAATTCATTGTTCATATCACTAGTCGTTAGGGCTGTACCCCCCTGGAAAAACATTTTTGGCAACCCTGTACTTGTGTTCTAAATTGTTTGGTAATTTCCACTATTTCCAAAAAATTTTCATTTGATTTGCAATGTAGTTATCGAGTTGATGGAAGTTTCAGAAATTTCTGTAATTTCCTTTTTCGGAAATCTGAACATACCTCATGTTATTAATGTGGTACGGTAAACTGTAAAAATATAAGTTGTTCCTATGTAAAATACTAATATTTTCGTTTCAAATCTGTATTCTAGAAACGTAGTCATCTTGCTACAGATTTATATCTATGAAAATCGGCTCGAATTTGATGTCCATTCCCATTTGCATTTGCTTGTTTGTCTTTAGTAAGTAAGACTTTCTTCTTTTGTTGTCCCTGTTCGAAAGTTAGAGATAGAGTCATTCACGAAACGAGGAAACAAGGCACTTAGACAAACAAATGAGTTATAAAAATGACATGCTTTGTTGAATGAAATTTAATTGCTTATGGTTAATTGTAAAAGGTCCGTACAACAAATGTTTACTGTACCAAGCTTTAAAATCTGCACAGAGCCTTTGTAAAGGGAGAACAGACTAATTGTTTTTACTTTGAAATATGTTTAGTTGATAAGAATACATAGAATGTGGAAGTTTAATACTAAGATTAAATGGTCTATTGATCAAACAGTCGAAACAAGAACACAGAAATATCGTGTCACAAATGGTGTCCCAAAAAAGAAACTAGTAGTCGACGAAGGACTAGTTTATGTGTTTCATTTTAGAGATATTGTTTCAGCAAGATATATATCATATTTCACTCGAATATTGACACTATTCAAATGAAAATGTACAGAATTTGTACCATGTATGTGCATGTTAAGTCGATGAGACTCTCCTGTATATATCTTCTCATAGGTCTCCTTGGAAAAAAACTTCACAACCATAAACAGACATGAGAACTTGCATACAGACTAAAAACTAAAAGATTCACTAGAAAGAAATGAGAAACATAATCGAGAGGTATTTACATAGATTGGTCAGTCATCTTTCACTTTCTTGACAATGTTGGTATTAGTTTTCTATAGAAATTAAACTTTTTTTTCTTTTAATCTTACAAAAAAAAATTCAAGTGGACATCATTATTTGTGTTTCACTCAATCATAGAAAATCTACTTAAGACTCTCGATTAACACGACAAAAATACGTATAATCATTCTCTCTACAATCGAAGACAATAAATATAAACTCAACACATATTTTCATGAAAGACTTTTTTTTAGAAAACAGTCTCTAAGAAAAGATATAATTCATATTATAGGTATCTGAATATGTTCATCTCTATTAAGAGAAAAATACAGATGAGAATAGGTATTAGGCAAGAAAAATAAAGCCAATGATAGTTCGTGCCTTCTTCTTTTTCCACAAGTTAACCTTGATTGAAAAAGTATTGATCATAATTTAAGATGCTTGTAATTTAGCACAAACAATCGAATTCTATTGTTTTTTTAAATAATTAAAAATTTAATATAGGCATTGAGAAGAAATCTCTTGGTAAATTTTATGTGTCGATTTTATTATTATCAAACTCGGAAAATATGGAAGAAAACTTTTAATAATCTTTTTATTTGTGTAAATTATTCACATTGTTGATATTCAGTTACAATACAATTCACAAAAAGAAAACAATTTCTTCGTTTTGTTTCTCTTTTTAAACACAATATCCGACGGTGGATTTAATTCATTTTAGTTTTTCTCTGGTCAGTATGCTATCTCGACAAGGTTTTCTGGTAGTTTTGTATTAATTCATCTACTATTTGATACTTCAATGAGTTTTTCGATGTATTTTATATTAGAAAATATCCTAATTACTAAATTACTTGTCTTTTTTTGCTTAGAAAAGAATCTTCAGAGATAATTCACATGACGCTGATATAAATGAGAATGAAAACATATATTAACCGTTCTCTGTATAATCAATACAACGGACAAATCACATCTGAATTATCCTGATTCATTACTAAGCGAACAATCTTCTCGGTAACGAGCGTCTGAAAGAAGTCATTTACTGTAAACGACGGCACTAATAATGAGTTATATTGCCATATTTTATTGATTTAGGATCAATTAGAATTGTTTGAGTTTTTGCATTATCCTCTTGTGATTCAACAGCGCAGACAGTGAGCAGCACACTCACTGTTTGGACAAAATGACTTTTCTTGTGAGAAGCAGTATACCGTAAGCGAAAGGAAAAAGTAATGTTTAATGTTTCTCATCAATGAAATCAACATCGTTTTCAGATCATATTTATAGGATTAATCGTGTTCCATTATTAGATCTCCTATTGTTGATTTGTGACCGTTTAAATATATGATATATGATGATTATTATTTATTTTCACTTTCAACTTCAACTAATGAATGCTTCTCAGTATTTTATTCTCATATTCAAATCTTGTTCGTTTTCTAAACCAATCGAGAAAACATGTTATTATTTATGATATTCGCTGCATTCAAAATAGTTCAGCAAGTGCAATAACTTTACGCTTGTTTTTGTATGGACAGGACACATCAATGAAACAATCTCCTATTGACTATTTTATCTTGATTAAACTATTGAGGACATTCATTTAACAAATCAATGTATCAATATGTCCATTCTTTCTACTAAATTCTTTGAATGATTGAAAGGAGAACAGTCGTGTTTAACTTGATTACTTCATATAATGACTTACATTTTAAGTTTTATGGATGTGAAGAAAAGGTATGGGATCATATATCTGCTTTACGTCTCCTTGGATTTTCTTTTGTTTTAGGTATATCGATATATGTTAAAAAATCATTTCGATGATTCAAACTACTTCTGCTATCTTTCATATCAAATTCGAGACTCTATTCTATAAATAATAACAAATGCTGTCCAATTAATAACCACGGTTTTTATTGTATTTTCTTGTCATGTAAAATCTTTTCTTATTAAAAAAAGAAGTATATACCACAAGATTCAGTGTAGATATCTCTACAATCGGCATTTTGCAAATTATTTTAACTGTGTACGTCTTTTTCTCAAAAGATGTGCCAGCTCTAGTCGCGATATCGAAAATCAGCCCCATAAAGTTTTGCTAATTTTGAAAAAAAGCACAGAAATAAAACCACTTGTCTATATAGAGTGCCGAGCATGCCACTCTGCATTGTGTGATGTATTCTATTCTGAATCAAGCAAACTTATCACACGAGGAGAAAATACAATACAAACGGTGCCCATTATTCCCAGGTACTCGCCAGAATATAGACAGATAAAAGAATGTCAGATATTTTATTAGTGGGTGTGGGTGTGGGTAGGTGTGTGAGTGTGAGTGTATGGGTGTGGATGTGAGTGAAAGGGTGTCGGTGAGGGTGTATGAGTATATGTGTGAGCCTGCGTGCGGGTGTGTGTGTGCGGGGGGGGGGGGGGGGGGGGCGTTGTGTGGAAAGAAAATAAAAATCCCCCACCCCCCCCCCCCCCCCCCCCACACCCCCCACCGCCCACCCCACCCCCCCACCCAACACCCCCCCACACCCCCC